CTGAGGTGGGCCGCTGAATCGAGCCCTGATGGGGTTGCTTCTCCTGGGTTGCGCCCTGTGTTCGTGAAGTGGCTGTTTGGTTTCCCCAATGTACAGATTTGCACACGGCTCCCTGTGTTGTACTGCATAGACACACATCGCTCAGTTTGTGTCTTGTGATGTTTTATCTTTGGGGTAGACAAGCTTCTGTTTTAGTGCATTCTTGGGTTTGAAGGGTGCATGTATGTTGTGTTGGCTGAAGATCCCCCTGAGCTTTTCCGATAAACCTCCAAGTCACAAGTGGGCGGGGATGGGCGATAAGGAGCGATGAGAAGATTAATAGTAATAGTAGTGCAGACTTTGTAAATAGTTGGACAGTGTTGAGGGAATTATTTGTTTAGCAGAGTGATGGCATTCAGGAAAAAAACTTGTTGTGTCTAGTTGTTCTGGTGTGCTGTGCTCTATAGCGTCGTTTTGAGGGTAAGAGTTGAAACAGTTTATGTCTGGGATGTGAGGGGTCTGTAGATATTTTCACAGCCCTCTTTTTGACTCGTGCAGTTTACAGGTCCTCAATGGAAGGCAGGTGGGTAGCAATTGATTTTTCTGCAGTCCTAATTATCCTCTGAAGTCTGTGTCTGTCCTGTTGGGTTGCAGAGCCAATCCAGACAGTTATAGTGGTGCAGATGACGGACTCAATCATTCCTCTGTAGAACTGGATCAGCAGCTCCTTGGGCAGTTTGAGCTTCCTGAGTTGGTGCAGCATATTGGAAGGTTTCTATCATGTCACCCCCTGGTCCTTCTTTTCATCAGACTAGACATACCCAATTCCTGCAATGGTTCTTCGTAAGTTTTAGTCCTCTAATTGTCTTCGTTGAATAAACTTCTTCCTCTTCAAACAGTGGCTCCCGTATCACTGGCTCAGACTGGTACAGAATGTTCTTCTGACATGCTGGTTCGAGGTTATGAAAGATGGAGTTGAACCTCTTGAGGGGCTCCAGTTGAGAAGAATCTCCCACATGGCCAAGCCCCACAGAGGGCCACCTGAAGCCTCATGGCCAGGGATGGGAATCAGCTGTCGGATTGCCACGCAGCAGGTAATGCAAAAGGTAAGCTGTGCTGAGCTGGCCTTGGGAGGTTTCCAGACCTACCACCTATCTCACCAAGCTTCCACCAATCCTTGAGGAGCCCAAGGAAAGCAGGTGTGAACTCTACCTTTACTCTTCAGTACCTGGGAAGCGGGGAAAATCCGGAGGATAGTAGGAAGTTAGAACTAAGCCAGGATGCCTCATACAAGCTGCCTCCAATTTCGCCTTGGTGTTTCGGTTCAACGCTGCCATTGTAAGTCTGAAAAGAGGAGAAACAAACCAAAGCATCATAATTGGGACACTCTCCAGAACAGGGGTGGCCAACCTTTTGGACCTCAGGGACCACCAAACTCATCATTTTAAATCCCACGGACCAAGAGACCCTGGGAAAATCCCCCCAAAAGTTTACAGGAAAATTCCCCACCCCGTTTTCCTACGGATCCATCATTCTTTTATTTGGGGTCGCAGGATACCGTCTCCAGCTCTGTTCTCGGGGGGGGGGGGGGGG